CCGGTTTGTCATCCACCTCTCTGAAACAGCTGTTTGATTTTCTCCTGCATAGTCTTGTTGTCATTGTCCCATTGATCCATTGTCACTTGCGCGAATTGTTAACGCAAAAAATCTTCTCCCATTTTCTGTGACCACTTAGTCCAGCCAGCCTGATCCATATAAGGGAAATGAAGAGAGTGTTGTGGATGTCACAGCTCCTCCAGATGAAGTGAGAGGTCACTGTGAGAAAGAGGTAGAAAACGCCTCCAATACCAGTTCAAGGAGGACGGCAGTGGTGGAAAATGGAGTAATTACCACAGGGTTATAATCTACAGTACTGGCCAACAAAATAGTTTCCTAGCGTTTAGCCTCCAGATTGCCATAAAGGGCGCCCCTCCTGTCATTTCATTGTTTTGTATAAGTCGCAATGGTAAAAAATGAATTAATGGCCAACATAATATAAGTGATACTCTGAAGGTGGGCCAGTTAAATTGCCTATATAGAAGAGCGATTTTTACACCCCATGTGTTTCCAATAGTAGGAAATACCGTAATCAAAAATAGTGTCTGAGACTGAAAGTACCTACCGTATTATATCGCCAGGACGGAGATGAACAGCAGCGATACTTGAGTAATCGACATTATGCACCTAAGCCAAGAATATGTGTTCGGCTTTATAAATGAAAACATGAAAATTTGTTTGAAGTTCGCACGCTTCTTGAGAAACCGTCAATTAAAGAATTTCTCAACTGATCACACAGGTGGTAAATCAGCAGGGGGTTTGCACAAAATGAAACAATTACTAGGCAGTACTGAGTGGGATCAGACTTGCACATCTGAAGAATTTACCGCTGTAGTCAAGCGCGATTACGCATGGCTCAGATTTACCGGAGCGGCAGTCGATTGTATGCCAACGATGAGAAATAAAGTGGTCAAGGACTAGTAAGTGGAAGTGGACTTTCAGAAGAATAGAGTTAGAGGAATCTGGACGTTATCAAGAGCTGCTCGTATAAAAGACCGCTCACATCATCAATTATCACATTGCTAAAGTATTCCTCCCATCTATCCCATGAACAAAAGACCACTCAACAAATCCTTGAAAACAGAGAAAAACATAAACAAGAGGTGAAAAGAAAGAATCGAGCACCTGCAATCTTTCTCTGGCATCGTACTTTACGTGAAGACCAAGCTGAACGTTGCTCAACTCAGGAGCGGCGCTCATTTGGATCGCTATCTGAAAGATTTGTTGTGTTTTCACTCTGCCACATCAAGTGTCTCATGCACCAGCCTGGCGGAAGCGCACTCTCTCCTATGTTTGCAGAAGGGGCTTGTTTATGGCAGTGACCTCAGAATTACTGGGAAACTGCTTTCAGATGGCAAGGCAGAACAATCTCATCGCGTTCCCTCTGTCATGGTGATCCTTGCGAATGTCCTTTTTTTGTGCACCCCTGCGCGAGCAGAATTCAGTTGCATTTTCTGGCAGCTTCGTCAAGGGTCGAAAGGAAGCCACTCCAATCATGTACGTCGAAAGGAAACTACTCCAATCATATACGGAATCCGCAGTAGGACCTGTTACAAAATATCGTAAGTTTACTCCGTTTATAGTCCTGGTAAGTTCTGCTGTGACCTGTGGGTGCAAGTCGATGTGTGATGTGATCGGAAGCAGTATGGTGATCGGGGACGTCACTTATCGTACGAGTGATCTCTTCAAACTCGATTGATTGCAACTCATCTTTGAGTGTACTCACTCGTCTGTGAGTATAAAACAAGGTAAAGTATACCGCTCAGCCATTGCATAGGACAAGTCCTATGTGAATGCAAGCAAGACTTGAAAATGGACCATCCGAAGATCACAGTAACCTATGCTAAGTCTCAGGCTGCGTTCATACCTAACGACGACGTCGTCGTCGTCGACGTAACCCACGCAACCTGCGACAACTTCCGAAGACTGGATACGCATCGATCCGACGTAACCAACGTAATCGACGTACCCGACGACGTTGAATTCGTCGACGTAACCGACGTTTTCGACGTCAGTCGATACGTATCTAATCTTCTGTCGTCGGTTACGTCGATTACGTCGACACGTGGATCGATACGTATCTAGTCTTTGTCGCCGAAAACGTTGCTTACGTCGATTATGTTGACGACTTCAACGTCGCCAGTTACGTCGGTTACGTCGTTACTTCGGATCAATACGCATTTCAACTTCGCGAAGTAGTCGCCGAAAACGTAACGCTACGTCGGTTACGTCGACATCGTCGCTAGGTACGAACGCAGCCTCACTTCACTAACACAAATTTGAACTAGTTAACGAGTTAAAAATAGCTGATCAGGCTGAGAAAAAAAATAGCTGAGGCGCTTTCGAGCTATTCTCACTGTTATGATAGTTGCGACAACATTTTTAGTTAGTTGCAAGCTTATTGACAAGTGCTATATGCATGTTCCTTACAAAGTAGACGTCAATGGGCCTTCCTGTGACTTTTTCTGTGTCCTTGTCCATCTGAATTCGTTCTAGTGTAGTACATCGAAGCTCACACCATGACCACATACCGTGCCGCACTTTTACTGACACTTTCTAAACATACTATTCACCGAGAACCATCCTCTCTCTGAGAAATTTCTGAAGTCTAGCGCAGAAGGCTCAAAAAGAACAAAAGATTGAGGCTGTATCCGGCTAAAATACGGACCTCTGATGGTTCTTTCAGTTTTCGATGGATCTCTTCGGAATTCGTGATAGGTTTGCCATCGAGTGCAACTATCGTGTCCCCAACAAAGATCTTGTTGATCAAGGCAGAGTTCACCTCGATATGTGTAATCTGTAACCCTCAGCTTCACTGGAACTCTTCGGTTTGTTTCCCGGAAAAATTAAGGCCTGAACCGTATAGTGTAGTTCGCTGCGGACGGTTGGGCGTGTCAGGCGGGATGAGTTTGGCGCGGTGCCAAACCCGTTCTCCACCAGTTGTTAAAGCGAGCAAATGATATGACTGTATCATATCGTTCGTATTACTCGTTTTCTACCACTTTTTGTCGCATGCGCGCTTCAACAAGAAGGCAGAGAACGGCTTTGACGGACGTGACACACTCATACTGCCTGACACGCCCATCCCTCCGCAGCGAACTATATATTAGTAGACAGCTCGTTCGTATAGCTGGTATCAGAGGGCGCGGTGTGAGAATTGGCGAAGGACTATCTCCGACTGTTTTTTCTTCCAATAATGAATGGTTGGTGAACGGTTCAGGAAGAAAACAACCAGTGGTGGAAACCACGCGGTGGGCCCATTCCATGCCTTTTGACACCGCTCTTCATGATTGCGAGAGCATCAACTGCATCAGTGAGCGTCCAGTTCCTGTACGATGAACAGAAGGTTTGTCTTATTAGCACTGTTCTGAGAAGTTCTACGATAGCGTCCTTCACAAGCTTTTATTATCACTGCACTGAAGCTCCCGCTCTGATGTAATTATTGTAGTTAAAGTTTCTCCAGCTAACTAAAACACGCCAACTAAACTCAGTACGTTTACTGCCTCTTGTTCACGTTACAACTAAGGATGAGTAGATGTGGATAATGAGTAGTATATGCTGCACCAGAGCGATGCGTCTGAAAACAATTCAAGCAAACCTATTAACCGCGGTGAATTAGCGTAGTTACAACTGCTAACGAGGGATCAGTCAGAGCAGTACCTTGAGGAGCGGAATGAGCGCCTCGCTCTAGAAATGGTGATCCCTCTCTGATCGATTGAAGATGAAAAAAAATCAGTGTTGGGAACGCCGCAGATAAACTCAATCCATTCTTCTTGAAATCGCCCGTACAATGTTATCAACTGTACTGAAATCTGTTTTCTTCCAAGCTACTGAGGTTTTCTGCAGCTGGCTAAGAACGATAAAGCTCCCGGTAGTATAGACTACAAATAAGATCCCTTCGAATGAATTCAGGTCCTTGACGACGATGTTTTGGCCGAAACGTCGAACACCAATATAGGCCTCATTTTATACATTA